TTCCTTCCTTCCTTCCTTCCTTCCTTCCTTCCTTCCTTCCTTCCTTCTTTCCTTCCTTCCTTTCTTCCTTCCTTTCTTTCGACAGGATCGCTATGCAGCCCTGGCTTGCCTGGAACTTGCTATGTAGACCAGGCTGGCCTCACAGAGATCTGCCTGTCTCTACCTCCAGAGTTTTGGGACTGCAGGTATGTACTACTATACTTGGCAAGTTTTTTTTTTCTTTAAAGAACTCTTGCAATTTAGCCTAAACAACAATCCAGGCTGCTGTGTAGCTCAGTGGAATAACACTCAATTAATACATTCACAGTTTAATCCCCAGTATCACAGAAGAAAGGGAGACAAACCCAGTTAAAAATTGGCAAAAAATAGGGTGTCCTGGTACACAGCTGTAATCCCAGCACTCAGGAGGCAGAGGTAGGTAGATCTCAGTGGGTTTGAGGCTAGCCTGGTCTACATAATAAGTTCTAGGACAGCCAGAGCTAAATAGATGGAACTAGTATCAAATCCCCCACCTAAAACAAAACGAGAGACTGGCAAAAGATCCGAGTAGATACTTTCTTTTATTAAGATTTTAAAATTGTATTTTATGTATACGCATGTTTTGCTTGCATTTTTGACTGCCGTGTGTGTGCCTGGTGTCCAGAGCTTCCTGAGACTTATGTAACAGTGCCTGTGCGCCCATCCTGGGTCACCCGCAAGGACAGCGAGAGCTCCTAGTGCTGAGCCTCCTCCAGCCACTCCTTTTTGTTTAGAAATAAACTTGAGTTTTAGTTCTGTTTCAAGTTTGTTTTGTTTAATTCAAGTTTAAATGGTACAAAGAATGTGAATGATTAAAAATTTAAAAATGCAGGGCGTGGTGGTGCAGGGGCTGTGGTGGTGCAGGCCTTTAATCCCAGTACTCGGGAGGCAGAGGCAGGCTGTTCCCTGGGAGTTCCAGGCCGCCTGCTCTACAGAGAGTTTCAGGACAGCTAAGACTGTTACACAGAGCACCTGTTTACAAAAACAAAGATCTGGATAGATGAAAGCTCAGTGGTTAAGAGCACCGCTGATCTTCCAGAGGTCCAAGAGTTCAGTTCCCAGCACTGGCATGGCTGCTAATTGTCTATAATGAGATCTCAGTGCTCCCTTCTGGTGTACAGACATCCATGCAGCCAAACACCTATTTTACGTAAATAATTTTTTAAAAAGATTAAACACACACACACACACACACACACACACACACACACACACACACACACACACA